CCTTCCTTGGAGACTGATCTAACCAGTTCCACCTGGTCCCCTTCGGTGTTAGAGTTATCTGGGCTAGTCTTAGCAACTGCCTCCGAAAACTGTAGATGTTCGGGAGTCCAGATCTAAGCTGGACAAATAATAATTCGTCTCATCACATTGGGAATGATTCCCAGGAAGGAAAAAACAGGCATAGCTCTGTGGCTATATAGTTTAAGGTGACCTAAGGCAGTTCAACACCTTAACCTCAGCTCATTATTCGTTTTTGAAAACATGCCGTTTACCAAAAGTTTTAGACTATGAATTAGAGAAAACTGACAAAACTTAAAAGTACGATTTTTTTTTATTTTTGAAGGGAGACAAAAGTAAATAATTCTATGAAACAAGGAATGTATGTAGCAAAAAGCTACTAACGTGACTGAGACCTGCTAGGAATAGAATCCCAGAGGACCTGGCAAGGCATGACACTCCCTCAAGGGTAAATCTCAAAGGCCTACTGGGCAGGCAGTGAGGTAAAGGCCCTGAGCTGAAGCCAATTAGTGCTCAATAAACAAACGGGAGTCTTTTGCTTTCTGCCCAATTTCAGTCCCGCCTTCCAAGCGGCTTGGGTGATGGGTTCTTAAGGAAAAAAACAAAAGTTCAAATTCCCATAGTAACTCAGTTTACAAAGTGGATTCTATGTGATTTGTGCAAGAACAGCGTGTGTTTTGTTCTGTTTTGTGTCAAAGCTTCTGAATGGCAATTTCAGAAAAATGTGCTGAGTCATGAATCCCTAAGGATGAAAGATTTTGAGAAGAACATGCTTGGGGGAGGGCAAGAACTGTGACAGTTGTACAAGTTGTAGATAACAGAAGGCTTATTCTCCTAAATAAGACCCTTCAATACAAACATTTACCCCACTCCTATGCCTGGGAATACTTGATACTTGCCCCAGTACTTAGAAGCCACACAAGAGTAAGGACTACAACAAAAATAATAATAGCTAATATTTATGAACATAGGGCAGTTATACATATAGGTTATTTTATTTAATTTCCACCATAGACCTATGATGTGTATGACAAATGAGGAGACAGGCTTTCAGCGGTTAAATAATTTGCTCACAATCACCCAGCCACAGGAACTGGAATCACAACCTTAATAAGTATGTACACCAGCTTTCCAAGTATTATCCATGTATTATTCATAGATCTTGGATCTTTAACTGATTGTGGTTAAACTCCTTACTCAAAGAGGCATCTTACTAACTGACATTCTTCAGACACAATTGACGGTAGCACAAAAGGTCCCAAGATTGTTACTAACAAAAGAGAAATTGTACAGCACTGTTCATGTAAATTGTGTATTTTACGTGTTCAATATAATACTCTGTCCAAGCCAAAGAAAAAAGGAGCCATTCTTTTATTCAAAACAAAGTTCTTCATTTCCCGTAACATCCTGGGTTGAGATAATCCTATGATGATTGCTAGAAGTTGAGGCTATCTCAGGTCACAGGACTTTTCAGCCAGCACAAGAAAACTGCCATCCTGCTCGGTCATGACCTCCCAGAGCAGGAACTCCTGATTCTTGGGCTTGTTCCTCTCGAGGCCTTTAAACATTGGTGCCTGAAACTTCTCTGAAGACATAGTCACCCTAGAGAAAATTAGATCACCAACTGGCTCCTGGGAGGCTCATGAGAGAGAGGGAGAGAGGCAGGAAGCAGAAAGGAGAATGAGGAGCTGTTAAAGTGAGGGAAGAGGGTCCCTAACAAACTTTCTTATTTCATACATTTCCCAAAATCAACCCTAGGCACTTGGAATGTCAGGAAATATCTTCTGAGTCAGAAAAGAAAGATCACATTCTAATCAATAAAATTTTATTAAATGGTATTTTTAAATACTCGGGAAATAGGCAAGTCATGAATAATTATCTTCATAAACATGATTCATCTATTCACTACAGGACTGGCTTTGCAGCAATCTTCCAGCTAGGCCCTATTTCCTAGCCATGTTAGAAATCAAAGGGCTTGCTAGAAATATTTTTCATTTTGCTTTTGGAAATGACTTCTGTACATCATTTGTACCATGACAATTATGTTTTATACCATACAAAGAGGGTCAGAATTCCCATTTCACAGGGCTATTATGAGGGATGAATAACATAATGTGCTTGGAACATACCAAGAATTCCATTAATGATTAGCAAGATCAATATTAAGAATTCCAAAGGGGAGTCCATCCCCCTTTCCTCAAAAGGATTCTGTAGGAATGACATTTTAGCTTTTTTGGAAACTAATGGTCAAAATAATTTTGTTGTTCAGTTGCTAAGTCATGTCCAACTCTTTGCGACCCCATGGACTGCAGCATGCCAGGCTTCCTTGCCCTTTACTACTCCTGGAGTTTGCTCAAACTCACATCCACTGAGTCAGTGATGCCATCCAACCATCTCGTCCTCTGTATCCCCTTCTCCTCCTGTCCTCAATCTTCCCCAGCATCAGGATCTTTTCCAATGAGTCAGCTGTTCCCATCAGGTGGCCAACGTATTGAAGCTTCAGCTTCAGCATCAGTCCTTCCAATGAATATTCAGGATTGATGTCCTTTAGGATTGACTGGTTTGATCTCCTTGCAGTCCAAGGGACTCTCCAGAGTCTTCTCCAGAACCACAGTTCAAAAGCATCAATTCTTCAGCACTCACCCTTCTTTATGGTCCAACTCTCACATCTGTACATGACTACTGGAAAAATCATGTTTTGACTATACGGACCATTTTTGGCAAAGTGACCTCTCCGCTTTTTAATACACTGTCTAGGTTTGTCATAGCTTTTCTTCCAAGGAGCAAGCATCTTTTAATCTCATGGCTGCAGTCACTGTCCACAGTGATTTTGGAGCTCCCGAAAATAAAGTCTGCCAGTTTCAACTTTTTCCTCATCAATTAGCCATGAAATGACTTTGAATATGCTAATGTCTAACTCACCAGATTCTGGATCCAAAGTGAAATCAAGGAATTCGTATTTTTACATTCAAGTAAAGTGTGACTGTAATTCAGTGCTGGGGTATGGCAGCTAAGAATATAAAAAACAACCACACTGATAAAAAAACAAACAAAAAAAATTTTATTGTAATAAAATTTATTTCTAAGACAATGGATAATGCACACATTGAATGATATTAGTAGACACGGTGAAGATGCATTTGGACAAGTATCAACATTAATGAATGTGGGGATGGCATAAAAGTTTAAAACAATAAAAAAAGGTTATAGGATTTCCTGAACATGATATTGGCAAAAAAGAACTTTTATCACAAAAACATTTCAGTTAATTTTTTTTTGAATGTTGCTTATTTTACTTACTACCCTGACAGTGACTAAAGAATGAGGTACAGAAAACTTTTCAGAAGTCAGAATATGGAGCAGAAGTCCAAGGCACTTTGGAGCCCCATGATTGGGTTACTGAGTAGGATTCACTCAGGTATGAAGTTCCCCACATCTCCAGGTTTCCTGCCTAGAAAAGCACTATTTACCGACCTCACTGAGGTTTTGTGGGGATTCAAGCTTATAAAGTGCTTCAGGTGCCTTTGAAGAAAGGCAACATAGACGTATAAAATAACCTTACCTATTTCAAAAGAAATGAAAAGACAATTTTGGCACAATGGGCAGAGTGCCTCTTATTTAAAGAATCAAACTTGGCTGTTTATTAAAAAACCCTCACCTCAATGGTTGACTGGTTTTATTTTTTAAGAGAAAAAAAATGTTTCTCTATTGCCAGTCTTATAAAAGTCATTCTCAATTCAGGCTGTGCTCTCAGAACCACTTGAAGAGTTCATTAAAAATATAGATGCTTAGCCCACAGCCTAGACCTACATAATTAAAATCTCTATCAGTGGTACTCAGACAACTACATTTTAAAAAGGATCTATAGAAGACTCTGATGCATAGCAAAGTTTAAAAAAACATTTCTTTAGAAAAAAGTCAATTTATTAAATGTTGATTTTCTTCCTAGAATATTTTTCTTATGATTGAATAAAGTTGGGTGAGGGTATCAATTTCTTATTGCCCCTTTCCCTTTCCATAGAGCACACAGACACAGAGCAGGATGCTCACATGCATGCACACACATACCACCCACACACTTTTTAGTTCTGCCCTTGAATTAAAATTGGATAGCAGTAAAATCTGATAGTTGCAAATAAATGCTTCACTGAGAAGATATGCAAAGACTGGCAATTCATCCCCACTGTGCCTGAAGCAAATGGATGTTTCCCATTTGCCAGAACGGAATGCTTTAAATATGCATTTCCAGTTTGGAAACAGGTAAAGTCAGCACTTCTTGGGAAACATGACTGAGCGGCTGCTGACAAAAGTGAGCGAGGTTCCAGCGACCAACCAGGAAGAAAGGCTACAGTAACTACCCCTTTGTTTGGAGACTGCCTGGATCTCAGCAAACACCTTAGGAATTGAAAGGATGTGTCCTCAATGGGCACCAAACATGCCGGTGCTTTATCAAGGTAAACAAAATCATGAAAACGGGGGATGGGAATTTAAAAATCATGTTTTTAAAAAATGACCAGTTTGTGCCACGGCAATCCTTAACGCTGTTTTAGGGACCATTTTCATTTCCTGACTGGCTCGAAGTCTTTTATGTACTAGAGAGTCTAACAGAGAGAAGAAAGTGTTTTAGTCCCTGGCGGCCTTCACACATAACTCATCACGCTGCTTGCATCAGTTTTAAAATAGCAGAGTCTCCTCTGGCTGCCCTGCAGAGGAACTATTGGAGTCTGCAGAGAAATGATGTTTCTTTCAGAGAAAGTCTTCTGAGGCTGGCCAAAATGTTCACAATATCCACAACTCATGAATAATAGTAAAACAGAGTAGTCCAACTTTTGGGGAAAAGGGGGGAGGGGGGAGAGAAAATATAGGGGATCGAGTTTACATATACAGTACATAAAGGATATGTAAAAAAAAAAAGTCATTCAGATCAGACATAGTGAAATTTCGCTGTGTGAAAACAGTCTTTAGTGCCTTCCAATATTCTTCTAAACATTAGAGGAATTAGAGGCAACTTTGTATAAAAAGGTTGTTGGAGCTGGCTTGGGGAGTTGCTTTTTGCATGTATCCCAGGAAGGCAAGGCTGCCAGCAGCAGAATAAAACCTCCCAGCAGGACACAGAGGCCACTAAAATAAAATGCAATGTCATAGGTCTGGGTCCAGTCATAAAACCAACCTGAAAAGAGAGTAAGAAAAAAGTGAGTTTGATAGACATAGTATGTATAGGAATACTCTAATCTCATCAATTTATATAACACAGTTCATGGGACTGATGTATACACACTACTATATATATAGAATTGATAACTAATAAGAACCTATTAAGAACCTTATTAACCTAATAAGAACCTACTTAATAGCACATGGAACTCTATTCAATACTCTGTAGTGACTTACATGGGAAAGGAATCTAAAAAGAAGTAAATATATGTATAACTGACTCACTTCACTATATAGCAGAAACTAACACAACATTGTAAATCAACTATACCCTAATAAAAAAGTTAACTAAAACATTTATATACAGTTCAGATTAGGATATACATTACCCAGTTCTACTCCCAAAGTGGCCTAATGGGAGTTAGAGGAGAATTTCTCAAATAGTTGGACAAGACTAAGCAGGCATTTTGGGTTTCTCCCAAATGAAGAATAAACATAAATTCCTGAGCAAGTGTATTGGCTTTTCCAACTATAGCAAAGTGATTCTGAATAAATCATGATCAAGAGGCATTCCAAGCAGATTTATTTTCTATAAATCTGTGCTATTATTACAAAAGCAATTCCTGTATTCAGAGACATTACAAAGAACAGTAAAATGGGCTTACTTTAAGATAAATATCTTACCAACAATTGGTGGTCCAAGGCTATTTCCAAGTCCAGCAAAGAACATTAATATCCCATAGGCATGGGCTAGTTTTTCAATTCCCACTGTCTTTGTGGTCACATAAGGGAAGATGGACCAATTACCAGTAAGAAATCCTAGGATCCCAGAAAGTAGTGCCAACGTAACATAACTTTTGGCAAATGGAATTGCACACAAGGCCAGGCTCATGATTATTAAGGTAGCTACATAAAGATATAAGGTATTAATCCACTTGAAGTCAGCCAGTATCCCTAAAATGAGTTTACCAACTGCTGTCATAATGCCAATAATAGAAATAAGAGGCATAATAAACTCTTCTTCTTTCACATTTGAACTTCTTGCCGCATCTTCCATAAGTAACGAAGGTGGAAACCCTCCGATGTCAAAGAGAAAGATGGCGATGAAGAGTGCTGAAAATACTTTGTTTTTAAAAAGAGCCACAGTTTCCCCACAATAGTTTTTATATAACTGCCATTTCCTCTTGGCAAGCTGTTTGCAAAAATATTTCGGTTCTGCAACTTTCCTCTTGTACATTTCAGTCTCTTGTGTGTGTGCCGTTGTTGTTGGGTTTTTATGAAGCAGACTCTCTGATTTCCAGTCACCATTGGCTAAGGTGCCCTTGCATGTTTCTTCCCCACTGTAGCTCTTTTCAAGCATGTTTATGTTTTCTTCTAGGTCCTTTTCTTTTTCTTTGTAAATCAAGTACCTATCTGGTACATTTTCCAGAGCTGTTTTCTCAGGTAAAGGGAAGTCAGAGGACTGGAGGGGTCTCATCAGACTGCCACAGGCTAATATATTCAAAGCTAAAGCACCCACAATCAGCAGGCATCCATCCAGTCCATAGAACTCAATCAAAAGTCTCTGCAAAGCAGCATATATAAAAAGTCCAACACTTGAACCTAAAAAGGAAATGGGAACTGTTTAATCTTAACCTCTTATCATTGGGACTCTCAGAACAAGCATTGTTAGGACTACAGTTCAATTTCTTTTTCACACTGGCATTCATGAGTGTGCCTTCATATTTTTTTTTCCATTTATTTTTATTAGTTGGAGGCTAATTACTTTACAACATTGCAGTGGTTTTTGTCATACATTGAAATGAATTAGCCATGGATTTACATGTATTCCCCATCCCGGTCCCCCCTCCCACCTCCCTCTCCACCCGATCCCTCTGGGTCTTCCCAGTGCACCAGGCCCGAGCACTTGTCTCATGCATCCAACCTGGGCTGGTGATCTGTTTCACCCTAGATAATATACATGTTTTGATGCTGTTCTCTAGAAACATCCCACCCTCGCCTTCTCCCACAGAGTCCACAAGTCTGTTCTGTACATCTGTATCTCTTTTTCTGTTTTGCATATAGGGTTATCATTACCATCTTTCTAAATTCCATATATATGTGTTAGTATACTGTAATGGTCTTTATCTTTCTGGCTTACTTCGCTCTGTATAATGGGCTCCAGTTTCATCCATCTCATTAGAACTGATTCAAATGAATTCTTTTTAATGGCTGAGTAATATTCCATGGTGTATATGTACCACAGCTTCCTTATCCATTTGTCTGCTGATGGGCATCTAGGTTGCTTCCATGTCCTGGCTATTATAAACAGTGCTGCGATGAACATTGGGGTGCACATGTCTCTTTCAGATCTGGTTTCCTCGGTGTGTATGCCCAGAAGTGGGATTGCTGGGTCATATGAGTGTGCCTTCATATTAAAATCACAACAAGAAAACTAAAGATGATGATGATGACGACCTCAACAATAGTAACGCTGACAGATCTATTTTTAAAACTAGCATTTGCAGTTCAGACGCTGTGTTAAATACTTTACATGGCACAATAATGTTTCCTTACAATAATCGTATTGTGTGCATGTGAGTGCTTATGTTTGCTCAGTCACGTCTGACTCTCTGTGACTATAAACTGTAGTCCGCCAGGCTCTTCTGTCCATGAAGTTTTCAGACAAGAATACTGGAGTGGGTTATCATTTCTTGCTCCAGGGGATCTTCCCACCCAGGGATCAAACCCACATCTCCGGTGTCTCCTGCACTGTCAGGTGGGTTCTTCACCTCCAGCGCCACCTGGGAAGCCCCTCCTATTGAGTACGTCCTATTATTATTCCCAGTGTACACTTGAAGTGACCTAGGGCTAAAAAGATTGAGAACTTTGCCACAGATCAGAAAGCTACAAGTGGCATAAGTAGGATTTGCACTCAGTCTGACCCCAGGAACCTATGTTCTTAACAAATACCTTACACAACTACATTTTTAGTACTTACAGGCTCCATGGTTTATATGTATTCCTTTTGGAAAAGAAAAGTTTTCATATTTTATTTTTTGAGATGAAGAATATATTAATATTTTAGTTGTAGGATATTTATAGTGGTTTGCTAACTCAAGTGTGTTAGTCTCTCAGTCGTGCCCAACTCTTTGCAACCTCATGGACTGTAGTCTGCCAGGCTCCTTTGTCTATGGCATTCTTCAGGAAAGAACACTGGACTGGGTTGCCATTTCCTTCCTCAGGCGATCTTCCCAATCCAGGGATCAAACCTGGGTCTCCTGCATTGCAGACTAATTCTTTACTATCTGAGACACAAGGGAAGCTCAAATCCATTGCTAATCATCAGAATGAATGATTGATATTAATAAACTATGAGAAAGTAAAGTGAACTTCGATAGGATATTAAAATTACAAAGTATGTCTGCTTGCACATTTGTGCAACACTGTAAATACACTATTTTTTAAGTAGATCACATGACCCACACTGGAATAGCAAATTACATCAGCTGAATTAATTTGAAGTTTTCTTATGTGGTTCTGATTTCAAGTTGTTAATTGAGTATTTTAAAATTTAAATATCATTGAGAAATGTCAACTCAAAAAAAAATAGGAAAGAAAGTGATCTGTAATTTTTAAAAAATTAGTCTAAAGAGGTTAATCATACTTTTTAAATGGTCTATACCAAATTACATCATAATCCCCACAGGATGCCAAGCTTATTGTAAAAATTACAAATAACCAAATGACTCTTAGAATTATTGGTACCACAGTTGTCCCTTCCTAACATATTTAAAATTAACTCCTTTATCCCCAAAGAAAAAAACTTTGCTTACAAACATTAATCAATAGTTCACATTAGTGTAATGACAGTTAATACAGTATCTTTTTGTGGCTACTTAGGAAATATCCCTGTGCTGACTATTAAGTAATAAAAGTATACAAGTTGAATTCTTCCTTATCTTTTTAAAAGTGGCACATACTTCAAAGGTTAAAAGCACTTCAGAAAACAAATGGAAAGAACTGAAAAGAGGACTATATTTCATGCACTTCCATAGTGCATTAGCATTCATTTACTATTAATTCATATTTTCTCTAACACCATTACTTTGTAGAAGTTCTAACAAAGTGTCATATAATTACTTTAAAATATTCTTGGTGTTTTGAAAGTTAAATATTTTGATCTGGAGAAAGTAAAGAATTCCCCATTGCTCACCAACTAAGTTTATCTATCAACATTATGAAATATTAAGGGAAGCATATCAAATCACTTCAATAGGTGGTTTATCAAAAACCTATGATATGCTAAGTGTATGACAGGGCAGCAAAATAAAATTCCACTTTGGATGTTAGTGTTTTCAGCCTACATCCCATGAGAATGTAGTCATGGCTTAGGAAGATACAGCAGGGAATAGTCTGGTGGTCCAGTGGTTAGGACGCCATGCTCTCACTGCCAAGGGGCTGGGTTCAATCTTTGGTCGGGGAACTAAGATCTCACAAGCCACGTGGCACAGCCGAAAAACAAAATGCAGAAATTCTTTCAGGGCAATGAAGAGTAATTAGAGCTCTCTTGTGGAACTGTGTAAACTGTAAAACTATAATTTTTAATCTTTAAAAAGAAAATCCCAATTTAAAAATCATCAATGTAAAGGAAAAAGTGAAATAAAGCACTAATTACGCTTCCATGCATGTCTATGGTATACATGATCACAAAGAGGGAAAATATGAATTTGATGTTCAGGGAACCTGAAATGGTAAGATATACACGTACATCTTGATGAGCTCTTCTTCAAGACCAGGGGTCAATAGACTTTTTCTATAAAAGGGCTAGAAAGGAAATAATTAACCCACAGTGGGCCGTCCAAGCTCTGTCACAAATACTCAACTCTGCCCTTGAAACATGAAAGCAGCCAGAGAAGAATCATGAAGGAATGAGTATGACTGTGTTTCAATAAAGTTCTATTTATAGACACTGAAATTTTAATTTTACATAATTTTCATGTGTCATAAAATATTCTTTTGATTTTTTTCAACCAATCAAAAATGTAAAACCATTCTTTATGCATGAGCTGTCCAAAAAACACTTAGTAGATCAGACTGGGTCCATGGGCATTAGTTTATCAATCCCTGTTCACCAAGGAGTAAGACTATTCCCAAAACTTCCATTTTATGCCCATGTTTCTTTATTTCATCTAGGTGACAATATTTAAACTAAGTCACATTAATTCAGTTATTTTGATTTTGGGTTCTTTTTCAATTTTTAAAAATTTCTACTGTGTTTTGTTTTTCTTGTCACCTCTTTCACTGATGGTAGATACTACAGACTGAATGTCTGGGTCTCTCCAAAATTTCTAAGTTGAAATCTTAACCCCCAACATGATGGAATTAGTAGGTATGGGCTTTGGGAGGTGATTAGGTCAAAGTGTGGAGCCCCATGAATGGAATGAATGCACTTACTAAAGAGAACCCCAGAGAGCTTCCTCTTCTGTTCTGTAATATGAGGACAAAGGAAGAAGATAATAGTCTGCAACCTAGGAGAAGGCTCTCACCAGAACCCAACCCAGCTAACCTTGACACCCTGATCTCAGGCTGCCAGTCTCAGAACTCTGAGACATACATTTCTGTTGTTTATAAGCCACTCAGTCTAAGATACTTTAGAGTAGCCCGAACAGACTAAGACAGTGGATTCATACTGCTCCCTGATTTCTGCCTCACCTGGCTTCCTATGTGTTGCAACTGAAAACTCCCTAATTCTCCCAAATCTGGATTGTCCACAGTCAGTCCATTTTGGTCCAGTGTGCCAAGGCCCAGGCCCTTATGGTTTCCTCTCTAGACTGAGTGGAAAGCAAGAGCAACTCTCTCAGCATACGATTTCTAACACCTTCATCCCAGATAAATCTGGATGTTCAGGGAAACCTAGGTGATAGTTTCAACAGCTAACACTTTTACGGCCCTTGCCGTGTGCCTTGTGCATATGTTCCTCTAATATTCCCAGTACCCCAGTGGGATGGTGTACGCTCAGGTCACTCAAAGTGGCTGTTCTCCTGCTCTCTGTACATCCTCTGCTTTGCCAGTGCCTGCTTCACTTATACCTACTCACATGTCACTGGCTTCTTTCTTTAGTCATGAAGCTGGGCAAATACAGACTGTACAGGGTGGAGTCCAATAGATGGGAACTGCTATTATCCTCATTTTATAGTTCAGAAAAATGAGGCTTAACACTTAATTGCACAGAACAGTTAGGTAACTTGTCTGTCACCAGGCAGCTACTGAGTGACAGAGAATTCAAAACCAGGTGATTTGGCTTCAGGGTCTGGGTTTGTCACATTACAGTGCCTTAAAAAAAAAAAAAATACAGTATAGATGGGACTTCCCTGGTGGTCCAGTGGTTAAGAGTCCAAACTCCCAATTCTGGCACAGGTTTGACCCCTAGTCAGGTAAGATCCCGCATGATGCATGGCCAAAAAAAATTCAGTGTAGGTAAGACCTATTGTCCTTTAAGGTGCCATGCCTGTCTCACAGTCCTTCCCACACTTGTGGAAGATGCTGTCAGTTCTTTAAACTGCTATTGAACTGCTCTGGATTCTCCATCCTTTTGTTTTTTCTCTTTCTTCTCTCAGTTCTACCTTAACCATGCCCTCAGACCCTGGTCCTCTCTCCTCCTGGGCCATGATCACATTTCTTATCTGGTAAAGCTTTCTTAAATCACCTCGGGTAAATATCCAGCTTAATTTAATCTGATCTAGAGTCACTTTGCTGCATTGGCTTCAGGAACAAAACATTAGTTTGGATCCTGTTGCCAGACACACTACTGAAGTAATTCAGCTTATCGGAAAGTCTGACCTCTCAGGAATAGCCACCCATTAGCAAGTAGCAATGTAAACGTACAAGTTTCAGTAAGCCTGGACACTTTATCTCCTAAACAAACTCATAAAATATTGGCCGCAGAAATTTTGATAAGTTCTCTAAGTAGCTTAGAAAAAAAATACACCTGAAAAAGAAAACACTTAAAAATATCAGAGACTTAAAGTCCAGAAGGTTTTATACTTACACTCTGCCCCCTGCCCAGTGATGGTCCTGATTATTTAAGGAATAATAAGGATAAACAGCCTGTCATTTGGATATACACATAGACTAGTTGAATGTATTCACAAATCAGTGCTTTAGAAAAACTAAGTTCCACAGTAAATGGAGTCAGAGAGGTATCAGCATTGGTCTTCTTGACAGTGGACTGAAGGATCTCCATTTTCCTTTCATTTCTCCTGTCTTTCTCAGGGTTCAGGTGCTTTACTTAAGTGCTCTCTGCTTCTTTTAGGAAAGCTATCACCAGGATGTGATTCTCAAATTATTGGACCCATAAGTTTTCTTTTCCTATGTTATACTGGACATCTAATGCCCCAGCTTTTTTTATATATGTATCTTTAGGGTGTTTTGAAAGCTACACCCATATTTACAGTGGAAAATAATTTCCTAAGGATTAGAGTAAAAAAAAAAAAAAAGTTGTAATCCTGAGTGGTAGCTGGGGGGTGGTTGGGTAAACCTATCTGTGCTTGGTAACTGGGGGGTGGTTGGGTAAACCTATCTGCACTTGGTAACTTTTAGCTTTGATTACAAGGCTGAAGAGTGGCAGTGCTGCACTTATATTGAAAATGTACCTGTTGAAATCAGGCCAAGGGCAAGGCCACGACGGCTGTCAAAATACTGGCACGTGATGGTCACCGTTGCAGTGTATAATAAACCACATCCGAGACCTACACACAAGAAGACATTGCATAAATTAAGGCAGACTATATTATTTCAATGCAAGAAGCAAAGAGGGGTAATTAAATAACTCTGAGAGAAATAAGCATTGTACATTAACACAGATATATGGAATCTAGAAAATTGGTACTGATGAACCAATGTGCAGGGAGGGAAAACAGATGTAGATGTAAAGAACAGACCTGTGGACAAGGGGTGGGAAGGGTGGGACAAATGGATAGATTAGTATTGACGTATATACACTACCAATAGATAGCTAATGGGAAGCTGTTTTATAGCACAGAAGCTCGGCTCAATGCTTTGCAATGATCTAGATGGGTGGGATGGGGGGTGGGAGGGAGGCTTAAGAGGAAGGGATATATATGTAATTATATATATCTTAAGTGAGGGGGGATGTATACATATAGCTGACTCATGCTGTTGTATAGCAAAAACTAACACAACATTGTAAAGCAATTATACTCCAATAAAAAATGTATTTGTAAAATAAATAAATAACTCTAATAGGACATTTTGTTACTGATTGGCTAAAACTCTTCAAAGTATGTGTTCCTAGATCCCTCTGACATTAACGGTGCAGCTCCAATGAACACATTTGGCCAGCCTCGGTTTTCACTCCCACCCACCTTTAAGGTCAGGGTCAAAAAAAATCCAATTTCTAAAGCACAAAGGAGAAATGGAAATTTAAATTAAGACATTATGGAGAGATAGAGAAAATGGTTAAATCACACACCAAATAGCAAAATTTAACCAAAATTCTCCATTAACTATCTCTCTCTCGCTCTCTTCCACATATTTACCCTCAGCTCAGTGTTCTTCCCGGAGAAGGCAATGGCAATCCACTCCAGTACTCTTGCCTGGAAAATCCCAAGGACAGAGGAGCCTGGAAGGCTGCAGTCCATGGAGGAGCCTGGTAGGCTGCAGTCCATGGGGTCGCAAAGAGTGGAACACGACTGAGCAACTTCACTTTCACTTTTCACTTTCATGCACTAGAGAAGGAAATGGCAACCCACTCCATTGTTCTTGCCTGGAGAATCCCAGGAGCCTGGTGGGCTGCCATCTATGGGGTCGCACAGAGTCAGACACGACTGAGGCTACTTAGCAGTAGCAGCAGCAGCAGTGTTCTTCCTCCTCTAAGTCCTCTACACAATTTTATAAAATCCCCTTCATCATTCCAAGCTCTTTCGCTAGACTTCACAGCTTGGCACATCCAGTCTACAAAACAAAGCCCTTCTGTATCTCTCAGATCATCCCATCACTGTAAAATGTGTATTTGTAAGTTTTAATCTTTTACAGATGGAAATTGTTTTATATAGGAATAAAATGTCATGTCGTTAGTTTAAAATCTCTTTGAAAAAAAGAGGAAGAAAATATAAGAGTATGTTAACAACAGTTACATTTAAGTGGTGATCATTTGGTTGCTTGCTATACTATTCTTTATTTCTCTGTGAATCTGAAATTCTTTTATGATTAGGAAAAAAATACCTTACAGCCCAATATCCCTTTCTTTAGACTCCAGGGCAATGTTTAAGGCTCTTGTCTGTTAGCTTAATCTTTTTCTCCCTATTAAGGATCTAATAACCCCAGTTTTGGTTTCCGTAAAGTGTTCCTCTGGCTTCTAACTTATAACATGTGCCGTTTTTCTGCAATATCATCCATTCTTGAGGATCACTCTGTAAACAACATAAAAACTATTGTCTAAAAACTAATTTTAACCATGACTCATAAGGTGAGTTATTAAAGTCATTTTCATTACTTTCGATTGCCACCTGGATTATGATTAGAAAGAATACATGGTTTTAACAAATATGCTGGATAAACATTTTATGAAATTAGCACTTAAGACAACTCAAGACTCAGATGATCATCCGTGATTGTATTAAAAAGTACTCTTAAAGAAACAAGGTAGATTAAAATAATTACACTTTAAATATTAAATTTTTCAAATACAGCACCCTTTTGTATGATTTAAGGGAAGAGATACTATATCTCATAAACTAAAACATGAGTTAGATTGACTTATATACTTATCATTATCACATACAATATACTTCAATAAAATAAGACCTGTTCCTGAACAATCAATTCTGTGAAACCAAAAAAATGTCACCCTTAATTAAAATTGCAATTCAAAAAGCTTTGGAGAGGGAATGAAAGGGCTCCATAAAAAGGGCATTTCTGTTTGCTAATGCCAGAAAAGTTAAAACAGTAACTTTTAAATGTTTTCCCTTAGACTAAAAAGAAAGAAATTTTTAAAAGTTATTTCAAGGTCATGGGTTTCACATAAGAACACTTCACGTTTTTTTAACATAGCAGAAATTTTAAATGCTTTTTCTCTAAACTTTTCAAAACACAGAAGGTGACATGACATTTTCCCCAGATCAGTATTAGGATGACCTTAAACCATCAATTATTAAGGAGATAACCCTCAAGGTCTTTCTTGGAGTGCATGAAGTCAGAACTATTTTCGTAATGATACTAACATATTTTCAGCTTTTTTTCACTGTGTTCACATTAATGCTATTGGTACAAAAGAGATGGTGAGTAAAACTGGAAGAGCCTTAGTACAAATCAAGGTATTGGTACCCAGCCTCTTATCTTATATGCTTCTCACCACTCACTCACAGTAAAAACAAACAAACAAAAATTTTTTTAATGCTTCATCTGAATTGCAATAATTGAGGCAAGAAAAAGCACTTACTCAACTGTTTTAGTAGCCAGCTAAAGTAGCCAAATTTTCCACGTAACCCTGCATGTATTTGAAAGAATGTCTGACAGACAAACTATGGTTACTCAGACTTACATGTTGGGCAGACATTTTCTTGAAAGTAAGCAAGGAAAATAACTGACAATAATGGTTACCAATGATAAAATTAAAATTTTCCAGTAAAAATTAGAATTTTTGGAAACTTATATCCAACACCATGATTTGACAGTTACCCAAAACATAAATATTTTCTGATGAGCCTATTGGTGATACTAACAGAAGTGACTTTTTTAGCTGTTTTTTAACTCCTGCCCAACTCAGAGAACCAATATTTTTCACATATCCAATTCACAATGTTACAAAATCAGACTTGAATGCTGACCTAGTCAAAGTTACAGATTTAAATAAATTGATTTAATATTACAGAGCATGAAAAGTATACTGATGTGGTTTCAATTTCCATATTGCAATTAACCCTTGGAAAACTATCATATATCAAGTTTTTGAATAGGACCAAAGAAAAGTATCTACAGTGACATGAGGAGAGTATTATAAACCTCTCTCCCTTTTCCAATTACACCTTTGCGTGAGATTTTCTTCACACACATCAATCCAAAAAAAAAACATATTACAACAGATTTGAGTACTGAACAGATCAGAGAATCGATTCCTTCCATGAAACCAGATGTTAAAGACATTCACAAAAGTGTAAAACAATGCCATTCTTCTCATTAAACTTTGTTTTGTTTTGGAAAATAGAATTGGTTTTTGTAATAAGTATGTTATTTATGGGCTTCCCAGGTAAAGTATCTGTCTTTCCCAGGTAAAGAACCTGACTTTTCCCAGGTAAAGAATTCCCACTGGGTAAAGAATCCGCTTGTAATGCAGGAGACACAGGAGATGTGGGTTCAGTCCCCAGGTAGGAGAGATCCCCTGGAAGAGGGCATGGCAACCCACTCCAGCATTCTTGCCTGGAGAATTCCATGGACAAGGAACCTGGCAAGCTATCGTCCATAAGGTCGCAAAGAGACACGACTAAAGCGACTGAACACAGCATAGCACATGTTATTTATGCTAACATGTACTGGATTTGTTATTATCTTTAAATGAATTACTAAACAAATACTTTTAAATTTCTCAACTTTTAATACAGTAACAAAATAAGTTTAAATAAGTATAATCCACATAATTAAAGGTTCCTTGGGGTTCTAAATAAAAGAGTGTAAAGAGTCTGAAGAATACAAAATTTGGAATCCACTGCTTTAAAGCCTTCCTTGGGGACTGCGGAATTAATTGGGAAATCAATATTGACATATACACATTACTATATAAAAAAATAGATAACTTATAAGGATCTCCTGTATAGCACAGGAAACACTATTCAGTATTCTTTAATGGCCTATATGGGAACAGAATCTAAAAATGAGTGGATATATGTATATGTATAACTGATTCACTTTGCTGTATATCTGAAACTAACACAGCATTATAAATCAACTAGACTCTAATGAAAAGAATAAAGATATAAAAATAAAGCCTTCTTTGGCCTCCAATCATTTCTGATTAGACTCTGACCAGTTAAAAAATTTTGAGCATCGACCTCCGGTATAGCATAATAACTTTTTTAATGAAATATCTATAGTACTAACAATTCAAAGCATAATCATTAGTAAAATATAATTGCTATCTTTTATTTATATAGGTGAAACTAAACATAAACATAGGTGACAAGAATATACAGAAGAACTATACAAAAAAGATCTTCAAGACCCAGATAACCACGATGGTGTGATCACTCATCTAGAGCCAGACACCCTGGAAGGCAAAGTCAAGTGGGCCTTAGGAAGCATCACTACGAACAAAGCTAGTGGAGGTGATGGAATTCCAGTTGAGCTATTTTAGATCCTAAAAGATGATGCTATTAAATTCCTGAATTCAATATGCCAGCAAACTCAGAAAACTCAGCGGTGACCACAGGACTGGAAAAGGGCAGTTTTCATTCCAAACCCAAAGAAAGGCAATGCCAAAGAATGTTGAAACTATCGCTCAATTGCACTCATCTCACATGCTAGCAAAATAATGTTCAACATTCTCCAAGCAAGGTTTCAACAGTCCGTGAACCATGAACTTCCAGGTGTTCAAGCTGGATTTAAAAAAGGCAGAGGAACCAGAGATCAAAATGCCAACATCTGCTAGATCATCAAAAAAGCAGGTGAGTTCCACAAAAAACACCTACTTCTGCTTTATTGACTATGCCAAAGCCTTTGACTGTATGGATCACAA